AGTGTAGACTCCATATTCATCCGAAAACCAGCTTAAGACAATGAATAATGTCATAGGCAAGAACTGCTATTTAGAATTAAAATATCTGCTATTAATGTGCACTAAACTGCAGTTAAATAAGAAATTTTATCGTAAACTTGATGGGTGGCGTTCAGAAGCCCACTGGGTCCAAAAATGACACATATTTTCATAAAATGTCTTCAAGATATAAAACTAAAATAAATGTAATCGACGAAAAATGGCCATTAAATGTCACATATGTTGAAAATACCTTTATAGAATGCAGTGATTTAATTTATGCATCCCAGAAAGAGAATGATATACCCCAGTAATAAAGTGGAGGAGTGTCTGTTAGTTCAGTTAACAAGTACCCTTCCTTTGTAACCTCTAACTGTGTGCGTCTATTAAATTGAAACTGTTGAAGCAAATACACTGGAATAACAGAAGAAGGTATCTTGATTATTTTTTCTGAAAAACACCAATAGCTTACTGTTAAGATGGAATACGACTCTGACCACTGTAGGCGCCCAACACCTTATTGACATAGAATACCAGGTAGACAATTGAAATTCCTTCAAGATTAAAAATAGGCAAGCTGAAGCCTTCTAAAGTTTACGGAGACAATCTCTACCAAATGGCTAAAGTTTGATTTATGTATTCAAAAAGAAGCTGTAGTAGGCCTCTCCTTATTTCTGTAAATTACCCGTTTTCTATGGAGTTTATCATCAAACATTGATTTTTACTCTGTCTCATGCTCACTAGATAAACTTAACTCACTGTAATATTTACGGCTCACGTAATCTTGTGTTATTCACTATTCAGTATCCTGTTATTTACCTCAACCTTTTTAAAAAACCATGAACGTATGTATTATGACAGCATCGGTGGTCCAATGGTAGAATGCTCTCCAAACATGCATTGGGTCTTGGTTCGATTCCCAGTCGACGCACTCTTAAGCCTCACCCAGTTCACGAATCTGTAGTTAGCCTGGAAAAGAGAGGAAGTTTTAGAGAAATGTAGCAATCCTACCATATAAATTGTTGATGGCGATGTTAGAATTTCAAAGCCTGAAGCCCTCTCTGTCTCAATCGGGATGCAAAGTATGGTAATTTTGTTAAACATCTTACCGATCTAACAATACGATTCACTTGTATACTATACTTATTCTTAGTTATCGTTTTATAGTTTGTGAATTTCAGTTTAGTACATTTATTTTGGCTATAGCTGTTGGCTAGCGCAATAGCCAGTTTTACTGGTATAACTTACGTTAGAAACTAACACAACTTCACACCTGCACTAATAAAAGGAGATGCATTATTATAAAAAGCATAACCCGAAAACACATCATCTGCACGCAAGTCTTTTTGTGTTCATATAAAAGGTCTTTAGCGGTCCTTATCATACTTTAATGAAATTTCTGTTGAGACATTTTTGATGCTTAGTGAAATTACACACTATAAACTTCGAAATGTTTGAATGATTGTTACTAAAAGGTGAAAGTTCCGTTTTTTTATTTATAGATTTACCGACAATTCTTAACAGACAAGCCTCAGTTCATGAACTAATTTCTTCTCCCGAAACCCTTTATAACATACAGGTAAGATGTCTAAATTAATAATAAAATTGTATTTAAGTGTCTGGATTTCGGCATTGTATTTAACTGCAATAGATATTTTTATTAAGAATATATATTATTAAGAGGGATATTAGAAACCGAAGAGGATTTGGTAAATGCTTCCTCCTAAAATGAGACTCAGTACACATGTGCGTCAAAAAATCGGAGTCTGACAGAGCACTAATATAAAAGCACCTCAGCATCTGGTGAGACATTTTTAGATTTTACCGATTGTCGACAAACTGCCATCAACATCTAGCATTATGCCTTTATATCCAACTTAGCAGAAATTAGTAGTCAAGACATTTCACAAGAACTTCAGGATACAGAAAAACGCCAGAGCAAAACTCCACACGGTAGTACTGATATAAGAAAAGAAGTTGAGCTCTGTCACAGAGTATAATTCCATCACAGAGTAAATTCATTTGATGAAGTCTTCAAGTGTTATACAGCATAATGCTTTACAGCACTGTGAAACTTTATCAGATAAACTTGCTTATTGATGTATTTTGCACGGTAATGTGTCATCTTAAGTAGCCACAGTTTGGAAAAACACAAAAGAAAGGTAGTGTAGTGACAATGCAAGAGATAAAAACATCTGTAGAGACAATATGTCTGTTAAGACCATTTAAGATGTTCAGAATTTTGAAGCACAACACTAGTGAATACCTTTACTGCATTATGAGCCACTTCTGTTTACCACCGTTTGTTCCTACATACTATTTATTAATATTTCCAAGATTCAAGTCACACAAGACAAATCACCGCAAATGACTCACAATAAAAGTTATGTGATTCGTCTGTTAGTGACATACATAATTCCGACTAACCATAACTTCTCTCAAACCTATTCATACTTCAGCCTAAATCACTCACTTTAAAAGCATATCATTCGATGACCACTCACAACCTCACTGACAAATGACTAACCTTTCTTAACCAAGATTACTGGCTAGGTTGAGCTAGCCATTGAGGTGTCTCACCCAACATTTTAATCATATACCTGGGGAGTTATTAAAGTTCTAGCCTTATTGAATATCACTTCACTTACTGCAGATTTTTTCGGACGCATAATCCTAATGACTCTAAGTAGCTGATGGGCTCCTATTTCTTTCTCTTTTGCTACCTTTCACCATTTATAGTCTTTAAGAAGAATATTATTGAGCTTGCTTTTGTACACCTTATTCTAGCCATTTCTTAAGCCTGGTGGAAAATTATTGTCTTTCAGTTAGTACTTTTGTATGCGCCTTTTACCATTCACTGTTTCTACAACACACTAGATATGGTTTCAAACTTCATCAGTATGAGCTTTGTCGCCATGCAAAAGAAAAATGTTTAGTCAAGCCCCCACAAGATACAGATTATATATCTTCATCTATAGACTAGAAACGCATTATTTACTGAATTCCTCATTTTCTATTTTCAGTCGATTGCACACAAATAACAGTGAAGAAACTGAATAGTTCTCGCTTATAAGTATGTAGATTTCAATTTGAGTCATCCATGCAGTTTTTCTTATGAACAGTTTTTCAGGGTCCATCATCAGAGTAAAATCGCTGTCTAGTTTTCTTTCTTTTTCATTAATTATCCCAGTGATATCTCTTTGTGAGGAAATCTAAGTTTTTTAAATGTGATAGAGTTTATGGTAAAATATAGACTCCTTGTGACTGAATATTTCAAATTCGACTCAAGCATTTCACTGCACAGAATTCGGGAACTTGTCATAAATCAAATTATTTTTTTAGAATTTTAATGTTGTGGCCTGGCCTAAGTTGATTTGAGTCGTATAAAATCTCAGCATATTCATAAAGTGGTAGAATCTAAATGACTTTAATCGACAAATAGACTTCCCTATTATTTATTAAAATATGCAAACTTTCATGTTTCCTTTTTGTTTAGCAAATCTTACGTCAATTCCCTAACATCGACAGTCTCCTGTCCCTTTGTGTTCAAATATGTTCACCACGTAAGATATTTGATCCGGGTCATAAGACGGATAACAGTAGCACTGAAACTTCACAGGTGAATAAATCCAGTTGTATTGAAAGCAGTCAGGAAACAAATTCATCTTCAACATGCAAATCAAAACCAGTCATGACTAATACAGATAATAATTGTACACCTACAACCGATAATGAATCACTTTTAATCAATACAGGGAGAACAAAATCGTCAGATTTACAATGTGATGCACGTGAAAAACATTCAAGACCAACAAATCCACTTCAACAACCATCAACATCATCCAATTCAGAAAGTAATTATGGAGGCGAATTAATTCATATTAAAAAGGCAGTTAGTGTACAAGCTGCTGAAGCACGAATTACTAAAGTTATAGCAATCAAGTATATGCTAGATCTTGTCAAGTTACTATACAGTGCAATGGGTGATGTTAATTCTGCTTTACTGAAAACATACAAAATGGTAAATGTAACATAGTGCTAGTTTTGTAATATAAATGAGAACAGAAAGTATTTTCCCTTAAGTATGTGACTACTTATGCCGAGTACTATTGACATTGATATTATTTCAGTAGGAATTATATGGGGAGGATTTCTACAAGAAGCATCAGTGGTTCAGTGGTAAAATACTTGCTAAAATCACTCACCTTATCCGGGTTCGATTCTCAACTGACCTCTCCTGGTCGGTAGTGAGCCTCGAAAAGAATGAACGTCGAAAGTGAGACCAGCAACTCTACCTCATATAAAAAACTACCGCCACTGAAACTTCAGTGCTTGAATCCCTATTCTCCCCTCAGAACTCAAAACAAATGGAAAAGATATTACTTTCAATTAACCACTGTAGAAGTATTTTTGTCTGTACGAATGAATACATTTCATGTTTATCCACGGAATGTGAACTATCGAAACGGTAGAAGACAAAAGACTAGGTACAGGAATATTCTTTTGGAAATTAGCATTTCTGTATAGCCAAATTATGCATACCTTATCTTCAACACACCATTTGCGCAGATCTTCGTGTTGTGCTACTTCTGGCCTTCCTTCATGTTGTGTTTCTTAGTGTTCCTTTCACTTCTCCAATGTATCTCCACAACGCTCTTATCATTTGCCTTCTCTGGAATCAAATGTATCTCCTTGCTATTTGATGTTTTATTGCCAATAAATGTCTCTTTATCTACTACTGATAAATCTTATCAGTAGCACTCACCACACTATGTCAATGCAATTTTTCATCTAAGTGGTTGTAAAGATGTAACGCATGGTTATCTGATGTGGGAAAAAACGAATTTATTTGTTGTGTTTCAAAGTATTTTCCTTGTCACCAAATTTTAATATAAATCCATTTTTCACATTTGCAGCTTTTGCAAGATCCAGAATATGATCAAGTCTTAGAGACTCTCTGCTCAGTGTTACATAAAGATGTACGGATGTCGAAAGGAATGTTAGCCATGCGAACACAAAAGATTTTTGCAATCAAGGTAGAAAAAAATTCACAAACTTTACTTAACATAAATTTCACTTAATTTTAGGAAGGATTGAGTACACTGTTGGACGTTACGCGCCAAGCTTATGCAGAACAGTTAGATGATATAACAAGTAAGTTTAATTAACTCATTTTTATTCGCAGAACTTCTATACACCTAATCGCCTACACATGACTTCCACAGTAACTTCCACATTCATCATAAAGACTCCACTCATTAGAAGGTAACACATGCTGATTGGTTGAAAAAATTTCCAGGGTTTTCTTCTCACTCTCCATTCCTCTCTAAATTTACACACATATAAACGTGTTAAATCAAGAGTACATAGTACGAAATATTATTTACTAATAAATGAATATTTATGCACTACAATCTGTTAACATTTTGTAGGGTGCATGTTCTGAATGTTTGATAGCATCGTAGATGGTAAGACACGTTTAACTGGTAAAACAACTGCGCTCACTAAGTTCACAAAATCAGATCAAAGTGTTAATGTGAATATAATGCTGGTGCTGTTCTTTTTAAAGTTTCAAAACCTAACAACTTTGTTAGGGTATACTTTAATTTTGAAGTCTTCATCTTGTTACGTTAGCTAAATAATAATTAGATCAATGAAAAAACAGTATCGGGTAACGTCAAACACTTCATTAGGCAAACTAACATTTGTTAGGAAACGAGAATTGATACTTATTTTGATAATTAGTGTAACTATTAAAATACAAATACCGAAAAAAGTTCGTATATAGAGTAGTAGACTGTGTCCCTATTGAACCAGATGACATGAAGCTTGGAGAAACGCGTATTGTTCTAGATGAATGCAATACATCAAATCACCAGTAGACTGAGTAGTACAGTTGTAAGGCAGTTGAAGCTTTCAGCAGGTAATATGCATTTAGATTTTTGAAAGAATGTTATCAGCAAACAAAAACATACATTCATGGCTTTTCCTGCAAAATTGATCCTCCAATACCACAGGACAAACATGTCGAAAGTAGACAGTCACTCAACATATCCATATAACAAGTCCATGCTATTAACATATGAACTGACTTTACCGAATAGCAGTACAAGGTGTCTTATCTTATGCCTCCAAATTTGGTAAACATTAAAAATAAAATCAGTAGAGGGAAAAGTCGTACAGTCACTAGCAGATTTCTTTTGTGTAAATAGCATGGAAGGTAAGGTAAAGAGGAGGATTCGACAATAAGATTTTTATGAAGACATAAATACATCTGCATTACTGAGAGACAATTTAAATAGTGCCTCTTAGAGCCTCTAGTCATTACGTTTTATGGTCGCGCAGAGCCTAGACAGAAAATCTACACAAATCAAGCCTCATGTACACACACACAAATAATTACATATAAATGCTATTGTACAGCTATGTGAATAAATTCGCCGAAAAGAGTCTCTTCGCTGAACGTATTCTCTTCTTCATATGACTCAATGGGGACTTTTAAGCTACACAAATGAAGCCATCGCTCAATAACTTTTTATGGGTTGTAACCATATCTGTGTCTGATTACTCTACAGTTTCTTCCAACCTAGCTAAACATTTGAATAAACGGCTGAGTATTGAACAGGTATATGAAACAAATTCAAGTGACGGTGATTTATATTTTCTACAAATGACTTACCTGTGCTGCGTGAAGCTATACACCCAGCTTCTGCACTGTCAGTTCCTTGCTGGTTTAGTTCACCCAATAATGCAGAGGCAACGGCGAGCAAATTTCTGAATTTCCCACAGGGTATTACTTTCAAAGTCTATTTTTTTAGCAGCTATATAGTGCCATATAGAGCAGTACTTAATGAGAAGCCTAAATTTTCTATAGTTTGGTTTGTAAGGAATAGTTATATTTTACGAGTTGATCACGGACTGATATCAGTTAGAGAACCATTGAAAACCAGGTTGGAGCTTCCTGTAGTTCTAGTGAGAAGTCGTGACCAGTGAGGTGCAATTAGAAGTCACGTGTGTGGATGGATGTCCCACCAACAACAATAGTTGGGGTCGCGCTAAAATCACGAATTGGTAGAAGTTAGAATTCATGAGCCACTGAATCGGGTCCCAGTGGCTGAATGGTATACGAGCTTGCCTTGTAACCGGAAGGTCCTGGGTTCGAATCCCAGTGGGTGCGTACTGCCGATGATTCCCTAACTAGGATGAAATAGCTGTCCAGTACTCCCTGGTTTTCAATGGTTCTCTAACTGATATCAGTCTGTGGTCAACTCGTAGAAGCCTAAATGTCAGTTATTTAAAAGAGACAATCGATTTATTCAGGATTATGTTTCACGTTACCTTAGAAAGCATAGTATGCGGGTTCAGGATATTTCGTGTTAAAGCAATACATGCTAGCAACAGTTAAACTAAATACATAAAAACTGAAAAATTGTAAAATATTTCATCTACCGAAATTGTAATCTTTCCTATCATTAATCTTATTACATTCAAAAAAAATACTGCAGATTCTAAACATGTGTACTGATAGTGAATACCAGTGATAATTAACTGCGATCAGAATATTTGTATAAATATACTTTAAATGAAATAGATTACTGAAATTATTATACTTGAACAATATGAAGGATAGGATGGGTCTATTACATTTGTAAATCATTCTTCATGTGTTATTAGTGGGAACCTGTAAATAGTATATGGTGTAATGTCTTTTACAAGAATCCCGAATATCGGAGAGACAGGTTAGGTTTTGAAGAGGAGAAATGAACATCATTGTAAAACAACATAGAAAGCATTAAAAGGAGGAATTAAGAAACAAGATACGAATAACTTTAGTTAACTGAAATTTGACGTTTGCATATTTTTCCATGGTTGTACATCATTTCCCCAGATAAAAATTCTTTTACTAAACACCACGGTTCTGTGTCGCTACACACGCAACTGACAATAGTTCAGAGACAAATTTAGACGAAACTCCTCATAAAACTAAAGTGTAATGTCTTGTTTTATTATATGTAAATTTTACTCTTTGTGTATTTTTTCCTCAAAAGGTGAGGTCAACAGACTTGCACGCCATTACGATCTCCCTCTACGATTATCGCACACAAAAGCTCGCGGATTTTACATTCAAATACCTGAGAATGCATTAAAAAATTACAAAAAACCGTCTTCACCAGAGGTAGTTCATGAGGGATCATCGGCTTCAAATCATGATAATTTGTCCAATGAAAATAAATTCTCAGATGAGAACGATGATGACAGCCAAGATTTCAGAAGATTTTCTTCACCTTCCGAAAGTAATAAAAGTTACTGTCCCCCAACCAATACAACACCAAAACAGTGCGATTCACCACTTCAAAATCTCCCGGATGAATTCATAGTCCTTATTACATCAAGAGGTGTTGTACAATGTACAACAGAAACACTTGTAAGCATGCGTATCTACATCCTTCAATTTATGCTTTACAGTAGAAATACTGATGAAAATATTTTCCATAATGTTTTTGATGCCGCATTGTTTTTGTGCTATTTTAACTAATTACCTAAACTGTACGAGTGGTAGTCTGATTTAAGAGTTCATTTGTGTTCGGAGTATCGAATTTATGAAGGCATAACCAGGAACGTAAACAACTTAATTACACACATACATGCACTTCAAGTGTACTAAATAATAAACTGTTCTAGTTTTTGTTAACACTGACACTCAGGATAGTTGCGAATTCAACTAAAAGCCAGTAATAATATCAGTATAAGCATGCTGGCCTTTTAACCTAAATGTCCACAGTCCTATCCCCGATAAATTTCGTAATTGTATATTGTTGAGCGGTCCTGAACCAGGATAAAACGACTGTCTAGAGCTCCCTGGTTTTCACTGATTGTCTAAACATCATCTACTTTGTTATAAACGACATATGAAAATCTACCTGAAACGTTTCTAGTTGAATTCGGCACACTACTTATAGCACACATAAAAGTACAGAGAAAAATAAATGTAAAAAATATGACAAACAAAACTGCACGGTAATAATAATAATAATTTGCTTTATTCCAAAACTGTACATGTGATAAAGAATGGAATTCTCAGCATTTTTACTACAGTATTGCATCCAGTCAGTACATTATCAATAAATAGAATTCTACATAGATTAAGGAAATATCAGTTCATTATTACAACAACACATTGGCATGTCGGTAGCAAAGCCAAAGTTGAACAGTGTTTGAAAGTGTCAGAAAAGTAGGTGCTATCATATTTACTGGCGTAAGCGAGAGAAAGAAACAAAGCAGCACATAACAGAAAAGAGAGAGAGAAAAGGAAAAGAAAGAAAGAAAATGTTGTACCTATAAATGATATGACTTGGAAAGACGAGGTCCAGTTTTTCTACTGACTATTTAATAAGTTATAGGTGTCACGCCTAATGCTTTCTTCATCGCACAGAACACGAGCTAACTAGGGTATGGTTGAATTTTTGTACTTGCTGGTGCGAGCATATAGTTTTCTATATAGGCTTCTGGTTTTGCCTGATGAGATGCAAGGGGAGAGTTGTGAGTGAAGAGGGTGGTGTGAGTTAGATAAATGGATTTGACCCATTTTTCACATGAGTCCATGTGCCTGTCAACCAGAATATTAACAAGCTGGTTAAGTGGCACGTTGCTTACCCTGCCGACAACCTTTAACATTCTGCGTAATATGTTATAGTCTTTCTTCAATAGCCCGGGAAAAACTAAGGGTGAACAACAGAGAATAATAGGCAGAATGCGAGAGTTAACGAATAAGAATAAGTACATGGAGAATAATAATAATTTAATAAATCTGGGAGTTCATAAAGAATGAATGCTCCTGCCCCACTAAGATCACTTTTTAACTATATCACTAACAGTCTCCATCCATTAGTTCTCAGTTTACCAGTAACCCCAGCCATGCACTTTACACCTTTCTACGTGACTCAAACCAGTAGTCAATGACTACATGACTTGATGTTATGTCTATCCGACCGCCCCTAACTTTTTTCCAGTCTAATTCTATGTCAGCTAACAATGTTGGATAAGGCGAGGGGTGATAGCTTGACATGAGTAGCACATGTCCCAGCCATCTCAATTGATGCAGCTTCACAACCTCGGCTTCCCTTCCCCTTTGAGGTGTACTGTTCAAAATACGAATGAAACTGTAATCCCAATGGGTAGAAAATAAACTAGAAGGTTGTAACTGAAATGAAAAGTAAATTTTATTGCATTGCATGGCAGAGAGGAAGTTTAAAGAGAGACAATAAAAGCTTCTCAGTTATACCACGCAGCTAAGTGAACACCACTACAATAAAACCATCTACCAGAGCTAAAGATCTTCTCTATTATAACATAAACTTCTCCAATTCAAAATTAATGATGTCAACAGTAAATGCTTTTAGACATTTTGACATCTACAAGAATAAGCGGCGTCAAATAAGTCACATGATAAAAAGACTAACTTGTGAAAAAAAACTGTAACTCTGAATGGATTAAAATAAGATGAAGTGCATATTTTATTATTTAGCATAAATAATAGTCTAATTCTCTTTTCTTTTCCAGATCCGTCTTAACGGTAAGTTAGTTCTGATTACTCAACAAGATGAAATAGATATACACCTGTGGATTAGGAGTTTAATGTTACAAGTGAATGAATTCCGTACTAATTTGTATACCTTTTATACACAGATATATCATCTGAAAGTCAAAATAACGAAACAAGCACGAGTGTGTTAATTAGCACAAAGATCTGAACAATGCAAGAAGAGCGAATTGAGTAGGACAAAATGACGTCATTATATTTCGTTGGATTTTCTCAACTGCACACAATTATAAGCAATTTTAATATCAATATACAAAATATTCAGATAATTTAGGTATACACAGCATGTAGGTGAAGGACATTATCACGTGATTAAATAACAAAATGGAAAGGAATAAAAGTTATTGTCAGGCTTATTGGTATGTACAGAAGTAATTACAAAGATAATCTAGAATTAGGAATGAATACTGAAAATTGGATCAACAACATACATGTAAGGGTTATATAATCTAGTTGAACACAGGTCAGAAAAAAATCCAGTCAAGAATATAGATACAGATAGATTTAAGGTATGAAATGAAACTGTCAAAATATATTATAATTAAAATAATGTATGTGGTATATTTAACATAGTAAGGGAAGATTAACAACAGTTTCCTTTTGGATGCATAAATTGGATTTGAATCGTTTAGTGTCTGATGCTTCAGAAATACGTAACAATCTGAAACTATCTTGAACTGTAAGTACCGTAAAAGATTTGAATACATCAATTTCATAACCGCTATTAACAAGGGATGAGCAGTCGCACTACTAATGACCTCTGCACCTTTCGGACGCAAGTTTCACTGGATGTGCTTGCAAAAGCAGTCACAAATACCCTCCTCCCCCCCCCCGTCGAATGTATGTGATTTGGCACGTACATGTAAGGTGGTATATGCAGTTGGAGGTAAGATGAAAGGGAGACCTGTCAAACGTAGATTGCCTCAGTGAACACTTTATTTGACAAACTGCTACTAACCTGGTACCTAGATAGGTTCACTTGAGAGCAGCATTTATTCTATGCCTAATTCTTCCAGATACTTCATCATCTTTGAATCCACAATTAAAGAGGACTGATTTCTTCTCAGCCGTACCAAATGTTGCTTTTGTATTCGGTACACAAGGAAATTTATAAAATTATATTTGTAAAATCTCAGAGAAACTGAAATGAGTAATTCCAATATTTCGTTTGTCAAACTGGTCCGAACTTCTTCAGAGAAATGAATCGAAATTAAAATAACAGAGGTTTATGTATATTAATTTCCCTGAAGAAGTTCGGATCAGTTTACCGAACGAAACGTTGGAATTACTCATTTCAATTTCGCTGAGATTTTACAAACATAATTTCTTACATATGTCTACTTCTCACTCGGCGCCCAATTATTTTGGAACTATTCGGTCAAATCTTGATAGCAGTTCACAAGGAAATTGTTTCATCAGAAATGAAAGAAAAGATTCTCAACTCAGATAGATAATGTTGATGGAGTATTGTTCTCTGAGCAGGACAGTTTACTTGCAGAGCTTTCGTTACCTTTCTGGACAAAATCTCCAGCTTCTCAATGAAACCATATAGCTCAGAGAACGCAACTGCATCAGTGATATTAAAAATCAATTACTATGACATGCTAATGAACAAATACATTTCACTATTTAGATAAACGATTCAAATATTACAGTCTGAAATGTTTAGTTCTTTCTACTCTTACATAAGAATTAGACTTGATTATGTTATTCAGGTATTCAGAAATTTTTTACAAAGACTATCTTATTGATTTAACTTACCTTAAATAGATAAAAACAGTATACTTTTGTTTTCATATTTAGAAAAGTGGAACTAAATAAATATTCAGTGCTCTAACAACATACATTCAGACAGATATTTCTTTATTTTCCGAAAGTACAGTTTTTAGAATTGTTATACATCCTTAACCTTCGCCTATAATCTACATTTTGCAGTTATCGTGCATTCATGGTATTCTCTGTATTTCACACTCTTAGTGAAGGCTGAATTCCTATCAGTAGTTACCCCTTTAAACTTAACAATGGATTTAGCACTTCTTAAAGTCGATTAAAACCTCAATTTGACTGTTACTTGAGACAATAAAAGCTCTCTTGTCAGTGCTCCATCGTCACTCTTGTTTTCGTCTCCAGATGGTGTCGTGGTTGCAGTCGTCATTGCGATTAATGATTAGATTAGTTTTTGTTATGGTATTAGATTCTTATAGCTCACAGCCTACTAAATCACATCAAGCATGTAATGATTTGATTTTATCTGAATTCGTGACCTATTTGTATTTTCAAGCTATTTATTAGTACTAAAAACTATAGCATTAATAATCAAATACTGTCCAGTAGATCTCCTTTATAAATCAGGACTTAACATAACACCTAAGCTGACGCTGAAATCTCTACACAAATTACCAAACTAATATGAATTGAGAACAAATATTAGAGCGAATGTTTCAATAAGTTCTTCTTCAGGCTCTACAATTATAAATCCATTAATTTAAGCATACAATAGCCAGTAAAGGCAGATTAGAATCTTATCAGAAAGTGTATTGTGGAACAAGTATAAGATGGGATGGAACAATAGTCATATAGTTTTTTAATATGCATGGTCAATGAGAACATGGGACAAAATCAGATGAAGTAATTTAATTTAATGATGTGTGTATACATATAAATATAGTCAACAGAAATACAGGTTTCGAGAGTAAGTGTAATCAGGGTGTGTGAACAATATGAAAAGACACGAGGAATATAAATTACAAAGCTACCTGTACATCAGTAATCGAAGATGAGAATATTTAGCATTATATAAAACTAGACTATGTTAATTAACAAACAGTGACTCAGAGTAAATCTTAATACTATTTCACTTAAAGAATCTATTTTTTTCAAAGTAATCAAAACACTAATTTAATAGCAGGGAAATTTAGGAAGCATATTTCGTTTTTTAGGAACTCATCAGCTAGATGCGTCTGTTTTTTAGTTAGTGATGAATTCCCAACACTCATTGCTTCAAACCCCAAAGTGTTATGTGTGGTTAGACCACAAAGCCACCTCTTGTACAACGGATATTATTTAAAAATTATATGTTCATACTTTTGATTTCCCGTTGAAATATTTGGACTGGACTGTTAAGACTCACTTTGGCATATAACATCCTTGAACGGATATTCCAGTATTAGCTTGGCTAATTACTTGAAGTTCTCTCTTTAAACAAAACATGCCTCCTGCATTCTACTGCTAGTCACCACCAAATAAATGATTTTATTGTAGTTTTTTTGAACTCAGTTCACGCAACAGGGATTTTCATTATCCGATATGCGAGCCTCACTTATTGCGTGAGGGCTAATGTCACTACCCAGGCTGAAGTAGGCGGAGTAGGGTTCGAAGCGAAAACGTGATGATTGAAATTCCAGGGGTTAAACCAATAAGCCACGTCTTCACACCTCCATATTAGCCATCATGGTAATATCAGGGTATCCGTATAGAGAATTCATATGCCGAAATGAGGTTGATCATTTAAATCCAGAAGTATTAACGGGAAATTACAAGTATGAATAGGTTATTCAACATATTTGTCTACCACTTCTTTGTCGAACTTACACTTCAGGTTACCATATTAAAATTTACAATTAAGAATATTCAGTTAAAATTTATTGTAACTTTTATTTTACTTTAATATCTTATATGATGTAAATCTAATGCAAATAAAATGACCAATCACCTATGCCTACTCATAAAAATAATTTTTATGAAATTGAAACTTTACTTTGTTTATTTTAAATAGAACGTATTAAAGGATGTCTTTTTGAAGTTTATCATGTTTCTGATCAGTAAGTTTTCCCTGTAAAATATATCCTTTTTTCAATTAATTGATTTAATATTGCTAAGAATTACACTTTACAGACTGTATGATAAAGGGGTTAATATATGGATAAGATAATGTCAGTTCACCGTCTTATAAACTACACGTATGCATTATATTTCTACAACTAAAGTCAGTTCATCGACTGATTCATCCGTTAACAGTAAAAATAAAAGTAGAAGCGAATGATACACTCTATCTATTAGAGGATTTATTAATACTAAAGAAAATTAAGTAATTATAAAGCTTGATATTTTGAAATGCTTACCATGTGTGCTTGTGTTTTTTTTCAAGTTGGGTAATTTAATTGCAAGACTTTCATTCTCCTGACACCAATTCACATTGAAGTAAACAGTGAAGATGTTTTCTAGAAAGAAAATGAAAGCTTCATAACTAAACCACTCAACTTCAAGAACAAAACAGCATCAAAAAAGGGTAGAATGTATATGTAAAGGAGTAGATTAGATTTTAATTATTTCCTTTGTGATTTTCGTGTAGCAGCTCATTCATGGTGGAACCTACTCTGTTCTTATAAATTTTTCAAAAGATACTTCATTATCTGACGGTAAAGTCATAGTTTTTACTTTATTACATAGCTGAAGAACAACACCCATTATTTTTTTCCGATATACTTTATCTTTCTAACCTCAAGATTATTTATTAAAAAGAAATCCGTTAGATTGGTAAACACATTTAAATCTATGTTAATCAAGCAAGTGAACTCCACAGAGTATCAAAGTGACTACTGTCAATAGATAAGTAACGTGATGCTTTATTTACCGAAAAGTTGCTTCTTGATATAAAATAAGGTGAATGAAAGCTAGTAATATAGTATTTTTGTGAACTTATTTTTCTGATTCATTGATTTGCGAAATCTATCTTGTACGAACAAATTACCATAATCGAGATCATATATCAAGCTAGAATTTGTTTCGCCTTTCTAACAAGTTATAACAAACTGAAGATCTTGATTTCGTGGACGATTGATGTCTTATATAGCACAAACTCACACATGTACAAATGAAACTCAACAAGTTGACAGAAAAGTCAGAGAATACTCCAGGTGAACACAGAGAAAACAGAGGTGTTGAAGACACCTAACTAACAACAACAACAAGCATCAATCACCATCAAAAGGAGAACATTTTTCACTTACCTGGATAGCATTGTTTCAACTATAGAAGATTTGGATAAGATGTCAAAGTCAACAAGCATCGGGAGAGTGACGTAGGTGTCCACTACCCTGAAATGAGTGTGGAGATACATAGCACTCAGTGCAACAAACAAAATCTTAATTTTCAAAACTTATGTAAAATCAGTGCTTCTTTATATTTCAGAAATTTAGCACGAGCTCCACGAAAATCACTTATAATGGACTGGAGACTTTCATCAGTAGGTTCCTTAGCTCAATACTGAAGATTAAATGGTCGGTCAGAAAGGATAAGAAACAAGGAACTCCGATAGGCAGCTTACCAACCGACAACTTATTATCCAACAAATAAGCAGAAATAATTGGGGGTGGACTGTATATATGCTGAGGAGACCATTGAGTAGCATCACATGCCAGGCAGGCCCTCAAGTAAAACTCGAATGGGAGAGTCGAAGGGTGATATGGGGGAGATCGTGTGAAGAGGAGATGAAAGCCTATCGACAGTTGTGGACCCAACTGAAAGTGTTGACATCGTACCAAGTGGAATACAGATTTCCTAGTGAAGCCTTATTTTCCACTTGGGCCCAGCTAAAGAGGACGGCAGAAAACAGAACAAAGTGGAGATGTGTTGCTGAAGCTGTATGTTCCAATCAGAACCCAAGAGAATAATAATAAAACTTCTCGGTACATAGATCAATAATAAAATGTTTACTGACTCAGATAACCTCAAAATAACACCAGGTGAACCATATGTTTAGCTGCCTATAAAATTTTTAGCACAACGAAGTTTAAGTCAGTCTAAACATGCTTTTGAACTAAGAATATGAGTGGGTCAGTCACTTCAAGCCATCGAAAACGAGCTTCAAAAACACAACACCTTTCCAATCTATGATGATGAAAGTAAGCATAAATACTTATAGAAAAAATTATTCAACAGAAAGAATATCAGCCACTACAAAATACTCTGTCGGATAGTGTTTAATGAAATTTATTCTATTTCTAAACAACCATATCAAAGATGATCTACTATTACTCATATCTTCTTCGAAATAAAATTGATTAGTTATTGCAAATAGCAGTGTAATATTGACTCAGAGAACAATAAACTTCACTGTCTATGTCTCACCTACTATTGTTTACAAACTTTTGATAGAAATTGATCTATCATCAGTCTAAGCTTCATTGCTAAACTGTTTCAAAACAGATTAGTTGGATTTGTTGTACTCGAGAGTTTTGTTTCCTTTTGCCATATTTATTTTTTCAATAATAATATACTACCGGTTTTGTCTGATCTTTGATGATAGAATAATTTGTGACTTAATTACGCGTCTGCATCCAGATATGGCATTGTTTTATCGTATATCTGAAGTGGTAGCTAGCTTGGATCTACTTGCTTCTTTCGCCAGAATGTCAATGAGTTGTTCCATAAGAGATCATTTTGGTAAGTCATATATATTGTACACATATAACTGTAACAGATATTATTCTAAAGTTAAAGTCCACACTAAAAAGCTTTATAGTCGACTGATCAGTAGTATTTCATCTTCAGACATAACTGTGAACGTACGTACGGATCAGTCAGGCTATGGGAACATAAGAGTTGAACTATGTTTAGAATGATTCATCTCAGGTAGAAGAACAGCTTATAAAAAACTCAGCAATTGCAATGCATGCACTAACACACAACAGGGTGAGATAGAGCTACAGTTCTAGAAAGTAATATAGGTAGGTGATAGTGTGGTGGTGTGATACGGAAAATGTGTCCCAACGGAATATTATTCTCACATATTCCCACAGTTCAATACTGCGTTAGCAACAGAATACCATATATGTGTTTGAACATTCTATTTCATGTCATTTAATGTAAGCCAAAATCACATGCTCAATGATTGGTTAGAGAATATAAAACTGTATCTCTATAAATAGCGGTTTGATCACTCGAAAATATACCCTGGCTTCCGTGTCTTGCCTTCTGCTGTTACAATAGGACAAGTTATTCACTAAATCCTTATTTATCAAATCTACCTACACTTAACAAATGCAATAACAATGACGAAACGCACAACACCAGAGATATGGAAAATACTACAACCAATAAAATTCAAGAATAAAAGACAATAGAACCATATAATCAAAATTTGAAAGTTACGTGAATGACTTGATATGGTTATGAGCAATAAATTGTGCTCGAAACACGTCATCAGTAAATAATATTGTATCTCTATGTGATTTCCATCAAATAAAATTATTCTGTGACAGAACTATACTCTGCGACAGTGCCTAAATCATATTCGTATACCAATTCAGACACTATGCACTTTATATGAATTAGTTTATTTGGGATAAAAAAAGGAGTTAGCTTGATGTAAAAACTTCTGAGACAAAATTAATGTGTTTCTTTTAAATTAGATTTGTCTCAAAAGTTTTCAGATAGGGCTAATGTTATTGATTTTTAGGAACACGTATTATTTACTACGCCTCATGTTAATATACTTTGCAAAATATTACATCATGTTCTAAATACTTTGTTAACTTGCATCACCTATAATTTCACATAGCTGCTGCTATTACAGTAGAATTGAGTATATCACAGCTGTACATTCAAAACGGACAGTCAACCGTTATTTCCACCTTTCAGAATTCAGGAACCCACTATTTTCCTCATTCCTTCTCATCAATGCATCAATAGGGCTTCTTAGTCACTGCCTATCACCTAAAACCACCTAACATCAATTCAAAGTGCATCGTGATAGCGAGTTATCAAGTTTGGTGATTACATGGCAAATTTGATTTACAGAATTCAATTTGAATAAAGCAAGAAGAACAGTTTGTGCAGAATAAAATGGTACCATCATTGTTTATTTCGTTGGCTTCTCATCAGCTACTTACAGGCCAAAGTTATTATTAAGTATATCTACAGAAACAATTTTAACATACTTGCACAGAGTTCATTTTTAAACAAAAATCAATCAATATATGCATACAATAATAATAATATATGTAATAAAAATAAACACTTTAACCCGAACAATGATGATCATACACAATGGAAACTTTCGGCATTGCGTAATCAGATGAAAGAGAGGGTGAAAATATCCATTTACCAGAGCAAGGAAAGACTGATAACCGCTTCTTTCTGAACACATAAATCCGGTTGCAGGCGCTTAATGGAGATCCCTTAGACATACTTAAGGAGAATTGTGACTCTTTTGCCTATTGATAATTTTGAACGATCTTGTGACCTCCACCTCATGAGCCGAGTCAAGAAGATGCCTGGCGATGGCACTGTTTAAAGCATTTGTTCCCTTTAGACATAGGCTTTTTGATACATGTTTAGAAGATCGGAGGTGTGCCCTTCTTTCTGTTCTTCCAATGTAACTGCTCCTGCAGATACACGTAAGTTTGCATATACAGTTGGAGTTAACATGATTGATTTTTGTTTAAAAATGAACTCTGTGCAAGTATGTTAAAATTGTTTCTGTAGATATACTTAATAATAACTTTGGCCTGTAAGTAGCTGATGAGAAGCCAACGAAATAAACAATGATGGTACCATTTTATTCTGCACAAACTGTTCTTCTTGCTTTATTCAAATTCATTAAGGGGAATAAATCTATGAAATTACAGAATTCAGTCAGAACAAAGACTAAGATCTAGACATTTGAAATTAGCTACTCCCTAGTAATCAATCAGTTTAAAATAAATTCTTTTATATCTGTTTCTTGAAGAAAGTAGATAATGGAAGACAAATCATTAAAGGAAAGAAGTGTCCTAGCATGAATAAAATATTCAGAAGTAATAAACTTTCTGCTTTACTTAGAAGAATGAATCGAAGTTTTTTAAAGCCTTCCACTTACAAAGCTTCAGAACAATAATTATTATCTTAATAAACATTAAAATCAACACTAAGTGTCACTACTAAAACAATATTCTTGGTTTTTACTATTTTTATCATATCACTTCAATTTTAATGTGATGCTGACCATGCAATGCAGACCTGCTGTATGCGGTGATACTGGGCGATTATATAGGTCATCGAAAGACCAGCAAAGAAAAGCACCTAACCGTAATATTGATAACTAATTGGTGGCCTCGTTTATGAGTTGATATACTCTGGTAACAATGATGGGAAACCTGATAATCACGTTAAGTATACTTACCAGGATGACTTTTAGTCACTCAGTGATCTTTTGTGTAGCAAACATGATTTTGAATTTTCGCTCTATACTAACTAGACAGCTGTCATCTTTTACATACCTTTCTGCTTTCTTTGTTTTAGTTTATCCAATATTCACCGATGTACTTGGCATTAAAAATGGACGAAATATTATTACAGCTCAGAAACGACGATCCCTGTGCATAACAAATCATACAGTAATATGTGTATATTTATTACTAACAGAAACTTTTTTCTTTTGTCCCCATGTAGTATGCATCATCTGACTCAAATTTTCATATTATAACAGGGCCACCTATGGTGAGTAGTCGTTAATTTATCAGTTTATCTATTAAAGATTAATTTGAAGTTTTAGGATGACTATAAGCGTGTCAGCAAACACTGCCTGTCGATTGAGGAAGGCGATGGCTAGACATGCGTAACACATGTCCTAGCCATCTCAATCGATGTAATTTCACAACCTCCTCTACTGATTTCCCCTCCTCACCTAGCACTCAACACCTACCCTCGACATTACTCGCCCTACTATGCCATCTAAAACGAGATAGAACGCAGACTCCTATGATGAAAGACAGCTAGCCAGTTTTTCATGTCTTCCACTTTCAATCTCCATGTCTCACTCGCAGCCATAAAGGAGGACAGAGTAGACTGCTGAGCAGTACACACGTCCTTTGATCAGTAGCCGGATATCACTTCTTCGCCAGAGATGGTGTAAGTTGACATATGCGAAACTAGCCTTCCGTATCCGTGCTGAGATTTCATCAGCGATCAACCCACTTGCGTTGATTGATGCAACTTCCCAAATAAGTGAAGTGGTCAACATGTTCCAACACTTCATTCCTGTCTATCTTTAAGCTAGGAGTCAATGTAGTACAATCCTGTGGCCTCATTTTACATTTGACGGGAGCGAATCGCATGTGAAACACTCGAAGATTGCTGCTCAAAGTGTTCAGAGGACTCCGCATTTTGTCAGCGTCTTCACCTAGAAGGACTATATCATCTGCATATCCTAAGTCAACGAGATTATACCCTGGCAACAAGTCCATCCCTGAGTCGCTGAAGTCGGTTAGGGTTACGTCCATTAGTACGTCTATGATGAAATTAAACAGAAATGGGGACAGTGGGCATACGTGACGGGCACCACCGGTTGTCGCCACTTTAGATGACAACTCTTCGTAGGCTCTCACCTGTCTGTATGAGTACGAGTGGAGTGCCTTGATTAGTGTGATGTATTTCCTCGACATTCCCTTCACAGCTAAACACCGCCATAGTACCTCCCGGTGGACGGAAGCGAATGCCGCTTTCAGGTCAAGAAATATAACAATTGTTGGACGCTGGTAAGTATGTATACGTTCCAGAATTTGCTGAAGGATGAAGAAATGATCAATACATCCTCTTCTTGGTCTAAAGCCTGCCTGGTTCTCTCTTGCTTTTTCTTTGGAACAATGGATCTTTACCGTCTCACTCAGTCAGTCTTCCGTATCTTTCTCAGTGTGGGAATAGTGTTCCAGTGATCAGTCTTATATTTTTGATTGTTGAAGTGACAGAAAGGACGAACCCAAACTCCACATTACCTCAGTTACAACACCAACCTTAATGGTTGCATTTTACAAATTCACAAACTTAGAATGAAAAATTAATTATTTGCAAGCCAGAAAAAAGTGGCAGTATTGTATCACTAAACCAAGTTGATTACGTGGAAAAAATGGAATACTTTTTCAATGACCAAAGTAAATTTCAATCACTTGTTTTCCAAACTAATGTCAGCTCGTAATCAAACCTGTAATTATTCAGATCCCTGCAAACCGACACTTGAAAATTAATCTGACTGCCTCTATACAGGACGTTACCTGGAGTTGTAGTGAGAAGTCGTTACCAACAGTGTCCATCAAGTCAGGTTGGAGAACAGTCACTCGTCAATGGAATGGGCTGGCGGTTGGGCTATATATGACTAATTGGCATAAGTTAGAATTCATGTGTAAGTAGATCGGGTCCCTGTGGCTGAATGGTTTACGAGCTCGCCTTGCAACCGGAAGGTTCTTGGTTCGAATCCAAGGGGGTGTAGGTAGTACTGAAGAATCTCAGGATACGACGAAACAGCTGTTCAGTACTCCCTGGCTTTTCAGCGCTTCTTTAACTGACATAAACTCATGATCAGACCTATAATCAAATACACAACCGACAAAAGTCAATTAACATAATTATAAGAAGGCTAGACACGAATGAAATACAAAGAAATTTATCAAAGATAGGAGCTGATATTAAAGAATGTATAGTAGGTTAAATTCCGTTAGAGAATTGAAACCAAAATGATGATAGAAATAGTGATAGGGGAGACAAAGTGAAGTGGAATGAAATTAAACAGAGAAAACATTATTGAGGTCGACATTAAGAAAATGGCTTTACGAAACATTTTCGAATACAGAATTTAGTTCAAAAGTCTACGTATTCATAAATTTTGTATAGCTGAAGCACTAGTCAGAGGTAAACATAATTGCCTCAACAAAATTGTATCCCTGTTCTATATACATTGTTTCAGAAAGTAATATAGGTGTTAAAAGAAGCTTCCTTGAAAAGTTTCTATAAGTATATTAATATTGGGTACTGTAGATATTGAATATTACTTATTTCAATTACATTGGTCACTAATGATCACTGCAGTGAAATATTATTTTCTCCTGCATTGATCAAACTACCAAACAGTAGTATATGGTACATGTAACAGAGAATCTTGGTGAAAAAGATACATCAATACGTGATCATCCTAGTGAATAGATTCTTTTAAATAGATTATATCATGAGCTGACATCGGTTAGAGAACAATTAGAAAACCTGGGAATACTGGACAGCTGCTTCCTCCATCCTAGTTTGGAAGTCTTCATCAGTACGCACCTACCAACAGGGTTCGAACCCAGGACCTTCTGGTTACAAGGTGAGAACGTAGACCGTTAAGCCATGGCCCATGAATTTTAACTTCTACCCATTCACGATATAGCGCGACCACTTCGCAATGTCTTCTTCGATGAGTAACTGTCGTCATCTTCGACCTTCTGTACCCTACTGGTCACGGCTTCCCACTAGAACCCCAGGTAACTGTCTGAATAGGGCCACTCGCTAGTGAGTATCTGATAAATTTTCAAGTATTGGTTCTGTAGGGATTTTGTAATCAAAAGGTCCTTGGATTGGAACCCCGGTGGGTGCGTACTGATGAGGAGTCCAAAACTAGGGTGAAACAGCTGGCCAGTACTCCCAGGTTTTCTAATGGTTCTCTAACCGATGTCAGCTCATGACAAAATCCTGTAATCAACCAATCAAACCCCTACAAAACCAGTACTTGAAAAGAGACTATATCTCAAATGTAGCTACATTGTAATACATTTTGTACAATCATTTGTTTTGCCACTTAAGTAGATATGTGGAATTTCTAGTAGATGTATTTTTGGCAAACCAACCAACAGATAATTTTTGCTATTATCAAATTATCACTTTATTAGAATTGTACTCATTGTATTTACATATTTGAAAAAAACTAAAAGCAGTGCTTATAATGTCTGTTTTCTTCAACATTTAGTCTGGTAAAACAACTTACCTGAGACAAATAGCCTATATACAAATTTTAGCACAAATAGGTAGTTTAGTACCGGCTGAATTTGCTGCAGTAAGAATAGCTGATCATATATTCTATCACACTGGTGGAAAAGACAATCTAATGTTAGGGGAATCAAGCTTTACTAACGAGGTAAGTTAATACTATGCTCATAATTAATAATTTCTGTTTTAAATTATTGAAAAACTTATCAGAAGTTATTAAAACATTGAATGAAATTATGGTGTATCTTAATATAAATTATGAATAAGGCTAGTTTTTTTATCCTATTTTACCCTACTACTTGAAAAAAAACCTTGTTAGAATGTTTTCAGGGCAGGCGGTTCATACTTTGATTGAGACTAAGGGAGATTAACTAAAACGTGCAGTAAATGATACATGTATATTATCACCTTCAATTCATCAAAATATACTTAACAACTTAGACTAAAAACTGACTGGATTCTTTTTTTACCCTGAAATGTACAGTTAGTAAAACAATCATCGATTTAAAGTCCTACTCGTTTAGTTATCCTACTTCTATAATCGTATCAAATGTTGCATTTGCCCGTTTCCCAGGTGTTTTATCAACCTTTTTGCATAGCTGTAATATCTCTGTTGTGATGTTTGCCACACTATGTACAAAAACATCTCGCGGTAATTTCTATCCTTACTCGATAAAGGGTGAGGATGTAAGTTACTGCAAAACATGCCTATCGCGCATTCGTGTCATTATACTTGAATAGGTGGAACGGAGGCAGTCAGTTACGGTTCAAAATTGCTCAAGATGTTGGTCTTATGTGATTTTTCACTATGTAGAGGAATGCTCTAGTCATATCAGATTTTACGTTTGGCTGTTTTAAAGGTGTTTTATAAACCTTTTTACACTGCTGTAATATCTCAGTTGTGACGTTTGCTACACTATGTGAGAAAACACCTTGCGATAACTTTCATCTGCACCAGATACTAAGTACATATTCGTGGAACTGAATATAAATAAAAGATTACCAAGTACTGTCACCAGTTTTTCAAGTACCTTCAGCATCACTGGGATATAAGAAGGGAAAGAATCACTTTTAAATGAATAAGTGGTAAGAATCTTCTACACTAGTAATATAAAATTCACCAAGCGGGTGTCGGGTTTTCTGGTCACTTCAGCATATAAAAACCGCCACAACACTTTTTTGGTGTTGCACTTCACCGCCCTCATAATGGTACGTGCCCACTGCTCCTAAAATCCCTTTGATTTTCATCGGTCCTTTAAGTGATCCCCATGCTTATCTGAATTCGTTTTAAAATATAACTAGGAATTTCTTGACGTCAGACATTTAGTGAATCCATATACAGTCTATTGTGTAATTAAGTGGCAGAAAAAAATGAAAGCGCCGAAATCAGTACAGTCGAACTAACTAGTTATTCCTCATTATTATCATTGGGTTAATATAAAAGTAGAAGATTCCAGTACTTCTAATTCACACAACAATTAGATTATGATTAGAAACAAATTATATGTAAGAAATAAATCGTGCGTTCCACACATATCGTAACACTTAGACAGTGGCAGTTATTTCGACTATGGTTATCAATAAAATTATCTTGAAAGTGGCTCCTGGGAATGAAGAATGTATATGCACAACCATGTAAGTGTTGCTCAGTTTCACCTAAAAAGTAAATAGTATCGAAACTAGAAAAATTTATAAGAAACCGGAAATCTAACTTATTATTACCCTCAGAGTACAATCACACAAATTTCAAGATTTTGTCTTAGCATGCATAATTTTATAATTCACCTATGAGATGTATCCACTTTATGTTTGTTATCTGTCAGATTGGATATTTGGTATAGAATTCAGCAATCGCAAATGCATGCACTAACACACAATCACACAATAGGGTGGGATAGAACTACAGTTCTAGAATGTAATTCACGTATGTGAAGGGAAAGGTTGACCACTGAATCTACCTACACTTAACACATGCAATAAGAATGAAGAAACGCCAACACCAGAGATATGGAAAATACTACAACCAATAAAATTCAAGAATAAAAGACAATAGAACCATATAATCAAAATCTGAGAACTATGAGACTACTATGATATGGTTATGAGCAATAAATTGTGCTCGAAACACGTCATCGGTAAATAATACTGTATCATGAAATGAAATTATTCAATGGTGGAAATTCAGTATTTCTTTTGTATAAAATGTGTAAGCCAAGCTTTTGAAGTTGTAACCTCCCATTTTGTACATTCAATCTCTTAACACTTTTTTTCTTAAATTACAGATAAGAGGATTGAGATATATTCTACAAAACTTTTCACGATCATCCATCATCTTAATTGACGGTTTATGTCATAGTAAGTCATTTTCTTTTTTGGTAGTCGAAACACAAATCATGTTTATACATAAAAAGTGTTGAAATTGATTCCAGTCCCTGTGTGGGAACTTAGTTCATTTTCCCTATTTAACTGATATTTCTAAGTGTAGCTGAGTAATTTTTACTTTGTATTTAAGGCTAAGTATAGCAGAAAATGTTAATCACCTTTGTTCCCTATTACTTAGTTTCTTTGATAACTGATACTGAACAAATGGCTTCATAATGCAAATTATTGCCAAATATGGATGTCGCGAAAATTCCCATTTAGATATTCAGAAGATTAAAAAACAGAAGATGGAGCAAAGAATATTCTTCTTGGTCACTTCCTCTGCAGTTAAATTTACATATAATATTTAACTGCATTTTCTTGGTGATAACATCAGGGAATTACCAACACAACGCTTAAGGAATGTAGTAAAAAGCGCATTCATTGCAGCAGAAGTTCACCATCTCTTCAAAATCACTCCTATCCGACGTTCGGTAGCTTAGAATAAACTACCTAATTTCTCATCTTCTATATGTATCCATCAGTCTGACTGCCTTAGGGAGGCTAGTTATATTGAGTGTACAATCAGGCATGTTTATCACCAGATTTCTGAACATCATTCTATGTGGATAAACAAAGGATAGACCAGATTTATAGTCAGTTATATTCTAGCTCATCTTGTGAATACTCAACACAAAATCGATGTTAAAAAGCTTTTTTAAAGGTATCTGCAGTATTCCGAATATTCTCAATTTTACCTTACGAATTCATCTTTTACAATATAGCTGAATTCGTCAGAATCCACCCTGAGTAGCCTAACTTATATGTTCAGGAGAAATTCCTACTGACTCTTTCACTACCTTGGCCATCACTGTTTTAACCATCTTTAATTGTAGCATAAATTTTCTTCGTGATTTTAACTGACATTCAACTTAGTACTACACTTTTATGCATATTATTACTTACACAAACCTGTAAACTACAGGTCGTAACAACTGGATATTATTTAAAAAATACCAATGCTGTCAATAACGTTTATTCTTAAATATCATATGTAAACATAACTGCAAATATAAGGATGTTTGTTAAACTGTAATATGTATACCGACAGAAGTCACCCGAATAGCAAATAATAGGTCTTCTCACGTATGGCATGTGACACAGCAACACTAAATAATTAGACTATTCAACTGTGAATTAATTGAACTCAACATTCTATAAATTTGTTGCTTTTTTAAAATTGATATAAAGAAACCAAGTTTCTCCAGTTCTCTGCTAAATATCCCGAACTTCTCTTTTTCGTTCCAAGAATCTTATTCATTTACATTGTACTAGATATATCTTTCAATTTCTTCTTTAAGATACAAACCCTGATGAAGTAAGACATCTGAACATAGCCATCTGTGAAGCACTTTTGCAACATAAAGTAAGTTCTAAACTGAACATAGGTGAAATGTTTATTCTAGTATTTTTTTCTAGTAATTTTATCGTTTCAGTTTTTTTCCAAAAGATAATCCTATGCTCCTCATACTTTTGAAAAGATTAAAGAGTAAATAGAATTGAACCTAACTGACCTTAGCAACTCACAGTGCTGTTGACTTGGAGTATGCAGACGATATCTTCATCCTGTATTACGACACTGATAAAATGCAAAGTCTTCTGAACACCTTGAGCACAGTCTGAGAATGTTTGGCATGAGATTCGCTCCCGTCAAATGTAAGATGATGCTGCAAGACTGGAAATCACCGACTCCTAGCTTAAATATATGGGAGTGAGTTGGCAGAGCACGCTGACTACTTCACTTATTTGAGGGATTGCATCAGTCCTAATGGACTGATCGCTGACAAAATCTTAACACGGATACATAAAGCTCATGTGGCATTTCTCGACTTATTTCGTCTTTAGTGTAGACGTTATTTCTGGTTATGGATCAAAAGACGTATGTATTGCACAGCGGTTAGCTCTGTCGTCCTTTATCACACTGAGACATGGCTACAGAAAATGGAAGATATAGAGGCTAGCTGTCTTTGATCAGAGATGTTTTCTAAGTTATGTGATTTAGTGAGTAATATTGAGTTTAGGTGTGGAGTGATAGGTACGGAGAGTAAGTCGACGAGGTAGTGAAGCTACGTGGATTGAGATGACTAGGACGCTTGTTTTGCATGATGAGCCACCGTCTCTCTCCACCGGCAATGCTAGGTGACATAGGATTAAGTTGAGAAAGAGGTTTTTCTAATTTTTTTAATTCCTTCACGTTCCCAGTAGAACATAGGGCTTCAAGCTAGAGGCTTGAAGTTTCTGTAGCAGTGGTGTTTATTTTTACGGGATGGGGTTGCTAGCCTCATGCCCAACCTTCCCTCTTTACCAGTCCTATTGTTGGCTTAGCGAGGTGAAGGAGTGCATCGGCCGGGGATCGAACCCCGAACCACCTACGTGGTTGGCGAGCATTCTACCGCTGTGCCACAGACGCAACAGAACACATTGGTATTCGATAGCTGAATTCTTTTAATCTGACCAAAGGATGCACAGTGATGTCAAAATCTACCAACCTTACAACTTCACTTTGCATAAAGTATTCGCATTACGCCTTTTTTGTCTTTATTTCATGCTTACTATACTGTTTTACACTGACCTTCATTCCTCATCTCTACAACTTAATACGGCACTTCGTTATTCGTGATTCTTGCTGAAGACATCATCAATAAACTACGTATTAATTCTAACCAATAATATGCATATTGAAGTTAATGTACAATTATCCATATATTCAATAAAGTAATTTTATGAAATCAGTTACCTAGCTGATCCCTTACATGAACTTGCATTCACAGTAAAATTGAGACATGAGTTGAAATAATCCAAATTTGTTGTTGTTGTTTTTTTTTGTATTTAGTCAAACATATTTAACTTTATTTTTTTTTTCAAGGCATTCACATTTTTTGCTAGCAGTCGACATGAAATGACATTTTTAACTTCTGTCTATCCAAATGTAGAAAAGTAAGTAAATATATGTGTATCATTTAAAAAGTTGTCTAAACTGTATTCACACGATAAGTAAGAAGATTCCATAAATACCGAAAATTAAGGTAATTCAGAAGCAACAGGTAAAAAATCTTTATTTTAAGAATGAAAGTGTTACAAAATCCAATTAAATTTAAATAGGTTTCCGTGTATATTAACTTCTATTGTTTCTGCCTCCCCCCCCCCCACCACAAACACATACCTATTCTGATTTAGTGTACTTTGCCAGAAAATATACATCTATGTGAAGAGTGATGGGAAAGTTGATTTATTACAAGAATTAAGTAGATAAAACAAACCATAGATGTTATGTTGTAACATTTTGGATAACCAGTTTGACTGAATCATTATATAAACAGATTTTGGAACATTTCATTACACAATTCGTAGTTATCTTAATTAATCAAAAATTATAGGGAAAGCACCTTAAAAGTTAGAACTACTCTGAAGAATTTGCTTTTATTCACTTAACATACTGAGATTATTTCAAATATTAAACAGAAAAGGGTAAGAAACTCAATAAAAATACCTTTTGCAGTAATTTTATTCTCAAAAGTGTTGTACAATCGCATGATTATACTATAAGTTGTTTATATGGTTACAATTATTATTTATATCAACATGTTAACAAAGGGTGATTAAAAGATATGATATGCAAGTTTGAAGGTGTGAATACAGATCACAAGGCGCACTGAAACAAAATTACATAGGATTAGAAAATAGTTATCTAATATGTATAATAGTTTTTCACCAAGACACAGGTGTGAACGGGATCACCATAGAAACAAATTGAAGTAATAGTTTTTTCATAACTGCTGATAAAAAATTGAAGGGAATGAAAAATAAACAAACGAAAACTAAGGAGCCAAACATAACTAGATCGACGGTAAATGTAGAGGTTGGACTAGTTTATTTTGAACACGGCGAGAGTTTCTGAAGTACAAAGAAGTCTCAGACACACTAGCTTTGGTGGATTTCTGCATACTTTGTAAATGCCGCGGAATAATGTTAGTCGAGATGTTGTGACAGGTGCTGACGAGGTGTTCAAATAAAGTGTTTCTGACTGAACCATTGCCACCTCTTTGCAGCCATAATGAGTAGTGTCAGAAACGCACTGCCAATTGGTAGATTTTTGTTAATTTTGTGAATATTTCTATCAAAATATAGTATGACATGACAACTTATGTTTTTATTCATATATTAAGGGATAGAAAACACATAGACAGGTTAATTTTTAAACCATAATTGAACTTTTCATGGCATTCACCATTCAGGGTGATACATTTTTCCAAGAATCTAAATCAGGTGGTGACGATTATTTCAATTGAAAAACATTTCAGATAGAAGTGATAATCAACTCCCATAAGAAAACCATTTTCGAATTTTCTCTCGGTTATACTTGTAGTATTAATTGGATAATATGTAGGAGAATCAGTTACAAAACGGTCGTTTTTCTCCCTCTAAAGCAGCGAGCTATTTTCTAGTTTAAAGAAATTCATTGACATTTTCTGTTTAATTCTCATAATAAAACTGCGGTTTCTTTCTAGACTAAAATTTTCATGCAGTTCAAGGGGAAACTTCGTTCTCAGTAATTTTAGCTTATAAACATTTATTGAAAAACCTATTGAATCGAAAGATATCTAAATTAGTTAATTGGAGACACTACTTATGAAGAAGTTCGATTAATTATTAGTAAATTATTTCACTAGAAGTTATATTTTTATCCCTTTACTCTCTGAAAGAAATATAGGGCTTCAAGCTTTTGAAGTTGCAGTAGAGGGTGTTGTTTCTACGCGATGGCATAACTAGATTTCCCTGTTTAAAGGTTCTACTACCGATTATGTGAGGTTTATGAGTGCATCGGCGGGAAATCGAACCCAGATCTCCGGCGTGGCTGCCAGGCATTCTACCCCTGGGCCACCGACACAGATCAGGAGCGATAATAACTATAAGATGGTGAGGAGAATTATTTCACACTTCTATTTGTTACATTTCACCTATGGTTTGGGAAAAATAAAGCATATTATCAACTAGATAATAGGCATTTATTCTAAGAATGAAATGACTAAGAGAAATCTACAATACCCTTCTTGCCGTTTCCTTACATCCTTTTAGTTAATAATCGTTTTGTCTAAATAAATTTATACTGTCTAGGTCATAATTTTGAATTTTCCTCCTGTTGAGGTGTACAGACTTTTACTTTCCTCCCATTTATTAAATTATGTTTTAGTTATTATTTTTCAATACATGAAGAATCGATAAATGATGATTATCGTGGACATCATACAGTTGACCTGGATAGCAGTACAACATCAAGTGTTAATTGCAGCACTCTTACTATAGAATCTCCATTGGTTCATAGTTTTTCTGAGACACGCGATAGTTCCAGAATAAAAAGATGGAAAAATTATTCCGGACTGTTGACTCCACATATCACTGATTCTACTCGAATTACATTCACATATAAACTAGTTAAAGGGAAACCATCTAAAGTTTTGTATGGTAAGCACATAGAATTTTAATGTCACTTGTTAAGATCACATATATGTTTGCCTACCTCTTAATACTCACCGATATGTTGGTTGATTATACTCAATGATCAGTTGAAGAATACTGTTTGCCTTTATTTTCCTTTCAAAGTTTTAAATTGAAGTGAAATAATTGTAGCGCTTACATCTTAGAATAAACACACAATAACTACCTTTATTATCGTTAAAATATTTATTACTGAATAGTATGATACTATATACTACTGACGGCAAACTTCAACAATAGCGTCCCAAGGGTTGAGAACGCACAAGTGACCTTCAGGCGACCAATCATAAAAATAAGTGACTTTTGCACAAAAAATGACGTATATTTACAAGAAAATGCATGAAAACACACTAAACAGGGTATCTTTCTCTGACATGACTTTAGAATACGTCCCAGTTATAATGAGGAGTATCAGTTGCTAAGTTAAACTGGTTTCTGTACATGTATTCACCGAGGTGACTAAAGATGAGCTGTTTTTGTGAACTGTTTATCTCTCTTATCCTGTTGTGCAGTCTTCCCCAAAAGCCCTCGTTTGAATTACTATGGTTTCCAGTAAGAGGATCGACGACTACTTACCGGGAAAATGTGGATAATAAAACAAATTAAAATAAATGACATCAACTCTAAATCTATCCCTAATCGTAACCCTAACCCTAAACTTAACACTAACCCTAATTACAACCCTTATCTTAACCCTAACCCCAATACTTACCTTAACCCTAACGAGCTGTTAACAAATTGTCTAATCAGTACTTAAAAACGTGATCTGAGTGAAATTTGCTGCTTAGTTGGTGAATAGCGTTGATATTTCAGGTATGATAATGACAGATGCCGTCAGCCAACGCCTAGCATGCATTCAAGGTCACTGGAGCGTTCGCACTCATGGGACGCTATTGTTGAACTTCGCCCTACTGACGTAAGCAGTCGGAAATCGACCACATCAAACAGTAGTGCTTGCAAGCCAGGTGAAAATCATCAAAATACTGGACTACAGACATGTTTCCATAACTTATCCGCAAAACTGAACGTTTTCTGATACTGTTCGATACCAGTTGTTGTATCTATGCAATGTTATACATTTTATTTCAAGTGACTACGTTATATGTTACTGAAATGTTTTACTTTAATAAATTTGGACAGAATTAAAGAGGCAAGGTTTTGGCAGGAAAAAGTCTTGAATTTGCTTGGTGAATTCAAATCTGATCACACATTTGCTCATCAAGCCACTTTATATTAAATAAAGAAATGGAAGTCCATTTAAAACAAATTAGGTGATAAATTTAAGTGTAAGGAGGGAGGTGAGGAAAAAGGAAGTTGTGTCAGTACTGTTGATTACGTAATTAGACAAAGACTATATTAAAGTATCCTTACAAACACAAAAAGGACTTATGTTTATGGACAGCTAACACTTCCGGTAATAAAAGTATACCATCTTCGTTGTTTCTTTAGAAAACAAAAGCAACTTCACCACTATTTCTTGTTGTCTTCACAATCTCTGGTTCAAACTTTCTGCTGTTTAGAAGTGTTATAAACAGGACCAATGCGATTTATAAGGATTTTTTGTTCAAGAAATTTGAAGTACCTTTGAAATACGAATAAGAAATGCTTTCCATTGTCATTGATACGAATACAATGCTTCTAGAAAGTTACAACCACTGAAACTTATCTTAAATTCACTTTCAAATACCAAGATTTTCTTTCGGCAACTGATGATTACTGCTTTATGCCGAAGGAGTATGAATTTCATTAGCACTCTAGATATGTCTTGCTGTCAACTACCAACAGGCATGAAACCTAGGCGAGGCAATGCTAATAACCTATTGGTTCCTTCCATCAACATGAAGTTACAGCTTGTCACAATGTTAAATCACCCCACCGATAAATTCCTACACTTGGATGTTCCAATTAAACCTTTATGGGGCAAGACTAGTATTTTCCTGATTTTTTTTACGAACAAACAAATGAACATTGAGTTAACCAGTTGAGTGACATTGTCTACGATGTTGATTACTCAAAATAATAGAGTAATTATTGCTAACATAGTGCAATCATTGTACGAATTTATACGCACTACATAAATATAACAAGTTTTAGCTTAGAATCACAAATAATCACTAATCCTACTGATGTTTTCACCCCATTAGCTGTTGAACTTGCCAAGCATTTCGCTCTTCCTCGAAAAGTATTAGACCGAGCTGAAGAACTTCTGCGAATGTATATCTCAGAACAAAATGCTAGTGATGGGAATCGAATATTGATGCCTGGAATGCACAAGGATGCAAGAAATGCAGATAAGAATTCTTACTCTCAATTAAAAGGTGTACAAAAACAAGTAAGTATATGCTAAACGCTATGAGAGTTAGGTGAATAGTTTGCTTCTTTAGGAGATGGAAACAATTATTTCCCAATACGAATTTAAAGCAGGCAACAAAAGTTAATAAAGCAGGATTTAATGAATTAACCAAATTTCGGTATAACACTTCAGCGATATAAAATTAAGATAAAATACATTTTATCTTGTTTACCTCTAACACGTGAACTATATTACTTACCCTGAGCTGACTAACAGTGGAGTGTAAAACGCCTATCTCATCCCATCTACGACAATCCAGCTGAATGTAGACGCATTCTAGTGCATAGTGATATTTCCACAAGGATTCAAAACATCACTAATTGTTTCAAACGCCTAAAGGATTAGTCGATAGGCTATTGAGCCATGATAATCACCTCCTCTATATAACGCGTACGACTTGAAGTTATTCGTTTGCTAAAACGAGGCCAATGCATTCAGTCCAGAAATACCAGCCGAAAATTACAGGTATGAGCACATTTTACCAAAATATGCATTAATTAATACTTCTAATTCGACCAACTAATTGCTCGGTCATTAGAAGTGGAGTGCAGGGAAAACTAACTATTGATTATAACGACAGGTACTAGGTTCACACTTACATATTCTCCTCTAGGATATACTTACTTTTCTTAAAAAAGAATGAATAACATAGTAATATTGTTGAAAATAATTATACAATGCTTAACTATCAAAAAATGCAAAAATCCAATATTCATTGTTTATGTGTATGTCGTATTAGGTAATGAAGACTGATTTGGATGAAACAACTTCTTTCAATCAGGAAGGGACAGGAAAATCAGATCTCGACAATGATGAAGAAAATCACGAGATACTCAGTGGAAACTTATCAGCAATTGATCGACTAGAAAATGAATTATACAGACAGTTAGAAATCATTTCAAACGCTTACGAAAATATGAGCACAATGCGACATCTGTCAGATTCAGAAAAAGATAAAATTGAGAAAGAGTTAATAAATTATCTTCAATTCTTGAGTTGTCGCTACAATGCAGTTTTCAGCAAACTAAACAATAAGGAGGAGGAGGAGGAAGAAGAAGACGACGACGACGACGAAAACGAAGAATAGAAATCTTGACAGGAGTAATACAAAGACAGCTTCTTCAACAAGTTTTTTTTTATGGGATACAAAATTGTTGCTCATATTGTTCAAAAGAAAACTTTTCAGAAACAAAATCAGTAAATTTCGTTAGCTTTGTTTTCTTAAAAACATCTTTATTACTTTAAATATGGATTTGTACATTGAATACATCATATCGATATATTCTACCTCTTTTTAGGTAAACGACGAGACATTTACAACTTATTTTCGTGTCAGTCAACTTATAATGCTGAACAAAGTGTATTAATTAGTGAATTCACGCAGATTCAATTCAACCTTTTGTAGAATTCCGACTGAAGTTATTCACCAGTTAGTGTTTAGCGAATAACTATGGTTATGTGATTTAAATTACAAAACTAGTTCTTACATTAACCTTACATTCATGTTAAAAACATCCTAACAAGTAGAGCTGAAGTTGAAAGGTCAGAACATCATCCTAGTCCTAAGAACTAAATTACAAGCCTTCTTATGAATTCGAGGAAATCAAGATTATATCATCTCAAGCTAATAATTCTGAATAGTGAACCAATATCATAATTTGCATTGCAAATAATCCCTTCAGTTTCTAGGAAACTATTTAGATATGATGGAAACTAAATAACTGACAATACAGTGTAACTCGTTGTACAAGATGCATAGAGATGTGAGCTCAGATATCATACCATACTTGAGAAAAGTGCTTTTAGTTCTCAATGCCACTAAATCCGTAAAGGGATAAGGATGGAAGGTGGTTGAATCAACCTGAATGACGGTTGCTGAGAAATTCGGACTTAGATGCAGTAAAGCCAGTTAGAACAAACAGTTACGAATGTAGTTCCTACTTACCGCACTGTTTTCCCTTACCTTAATAATAATAATAATAATAATAAGATCCAAAGTAGGACCCCACAGCCACTAAAAGCAGATACATTTGATCAGGAATGGACCAAAATACTTGATATTTTACGACAATACGAATTAGTCGTACGACTTTGTACTAGCTCAACCTAGCATACAATATGGCATACACCTCGCGCAAACGCAAATATTCAATTTTATGTGGCATACAGTAAATATACTAGTAACATACTCAATCCACAGAAGTTAAACGAAAAAATGTATTTTTAAGCACAAATAATTCCAATCGAACCCTCCTATATTCATGAACTCTCAGACAAAATTTTACTCCCAGATCTTCAGTAACCAGATAACCTTTATACTACTTAAAAATCAAAGGTATGTTGATAAACTTAGCGATGAAGCACATCCACTGTGTGACGATTTAAGGACCCAATTATATAGCTAGATCCAAAAATGCAACCCACTTGTTGGGGGTTAATAGCCCATTCCAATAAGACGCTTTTCAAAATATACAGTTAGCATTTGAATACTTGCCTTATATGGCTAAAACGAGACAACTACGTGTCATATATGTGTAGCCCTTAGCTTCCGGGAAATTACTTCCAAAGAACGTAAATAAATCGCTTTCAAAAGCACGAATTGGATTATCTTTATTCCTTCGTAAAATAATAACTAGTCACAGGGTTACTAACCGAACTGAAATTTCAGTATAGAAATTCGCACAGAAGTGCAGCAGTTCAAGTCGTCACACTATATAGCCCACAAAAGTAGAGAAAGAAAAAAATCCCAAGGAACTAGTGACGGGAGGAAGAATAATTACATAAAGGAACGTGGTGGCTTCGTGGATCTGGGAAGTCACAAAGAGTGAATGCACCCGCACCGCTCAAAACAATTTTGACCTATGTCAAAAAAGTGCTTCCAGTCATTGATTCTTGGTGACTTATGGACCTCAGCCACGCACCCTACACCCCCTATGTGGCTCAAACCAACGTTCGGTGACTCTACGGATTCATGCTACGTATTGATCTTATTACCCTTAACTATTTCAACCTAAACCTATATTACCCAGGTAATCATAGGAGGATCAGGTCAGTGAAGAAATTACTAATAAATACCTGTTCCACTTCGCTTGAAGAGAATTTAAATTAGAATGTTACTCTTCAAAATTTAGTACCATCAATTGGGTTCAGTCGGGGAGTCTCTCAAAAGACATTTTAGAGACGATGTGGAACTAACCCAATTTTACTCCCAAATACTTTTAAGACTTTACTTCTACGCAGTGTCCGCTCGAGGAATCCTGACGACGCAATAAACAAAAACCCGGTGGATTTCGACTAATGATCATAAAGGTTTTTATAACTTATAAACAGTGTACCTGCCAACCATTTTCTCCTTATATGTAATCGTGTTCGCTATAAGATAATTGTTAAAAGATAATTATTTGTAGACCTTCAGTACCATCTGCCATTTACTATCCAGCCTGCTAGTGGAAAAGGCTAAAAGCCAAGACCCACTGTTGCGACCGTCACACGGCTACACCCCTTAATCTAATCCCAACAAGACTGCTTATCAACCAAGGTCAAAAACATCAGTGGCTTCGATTGGACTTGATGTGGAATGTGATCCATTTACTTAAGCACTTGGCTAGCAACTAATGGGTCCCAGGCTGGAAATCCGGCTCCAGCTAATTCAGCTTAAGCAACAAGGTAACATTACCACCCCTTACAAATAAGTTTTGCCTTCAGGCTGCAAAACTGAAGGTCAATTCTGAGTTCAAACACACATGCGCAGATTTCTGGACTGTGAACCACTTTTACTATGTGGAAAGGAGAGGTTATCTTGTACACATTCTTCATTGAGAAAACCATTTAGGCCTTGTCAACACAGTTATTTTTACTATGTACAGTCCAAATAATTCAAAGGGTTTTACTTTCAAAAAGAGATATTAGTATATCCCTAGGCATAGTGAGTACAAACAATACATTTCACAAGTATTCTGACAAAAAATACAAACACCACAAACTCGTTTATTCAAATACAGAGAATTTACATCTTAAGAATAAACAATATGAAACTGCGTAACCACATTAGATTAACAATAAAAAAATTCTTTAGGAGAAAGTTAACTGAATGAATAATTTCCCAGGTACTACAGTTTGAATGGTCTGCACAAAAACATATCCCCCAGATGACAAGGTGTTAGATCTAGTGACATATCAACGATGAATATACAAAACCAACGAAGTGGATATGTGAACTTATTTAGCATCAAATATATACATCATTAACAAGAATACAACGAAGTGCATTTCAGTTATGAAAATAGTCATTGGAATAGATAATCGAATACATAAACTTCGCAAGTTTTATGTATGTTAATCATGATTAACCGGAACATCCACGACAGCCACAACTTTGGCACTCAACAATCTTCCCTTCTTCTAACTTTGACTTTGGAACTCGACAAACGCAATTCGTCCCAAAATTTGTATCTCTAGACTGAATGCATCTCAAACAACATAAGTTTTCATAACCTTGCTTCTTCCATTTGGCAATCAAGTTACCATCGGCAATCTTTTCTTTTAAACAAAATTCGTATAATTCCTGTTGTGTAAATAATTGCAATAAAGGCTACTTACCTTAGAAATCGCTTTCCTCTTATAGTATAAATCGTAAATAAATCGGGACCTTTTGTGGTGAATACGGAAGATAGGCCACTCAGCCTCTACTTTACGCTTCCCTTCATGAGGATCTGTTTCTGCCTCTCGCATTTTCCTATTTAGTTCCTCGATAGTTGGTTCAATCAGCTCCCACCCCTCTGGTGGGGGTTTCTTACTCCTTCTAAACGGCGCCATCCCAAACTTCCGAAAGTCCCGCGGTACACTTCGTAGCACTCAAATATATGTTAATTGGCTCTAGGTTGTCACTTATCAGTGTTATGAAACAGTTCTAAATGTATCATAGATTCAACTAAAGCAGATATTTTTCTTCTATTAATGTACCTATTCCAAATTCAATAAGAAGTAGTGTCAAACTATCTTGTGGATGAGGTGTCTTCCTGGGAAGTACGACTGCTGAGATTCATATTTTTTGTTCTAATCTAAATCCCTTCTAGAACATCACAATCACATTAAATCAAGGTGTCCTCAGCTCTATGATTTAGATTTTTTATTACATTACAAGCTGTTACCAAGTCAGCATTTACTCCATATTCGAGTTCGTTGTTGTACGGTGATAGATTTGTTGTCAATATGCAATACATGGCCAGTCCTACTCAAACTCCATGTGCTCCTCTGATGGCCTTATTTGCGGCTGAATGAATCTGTGATTACTGATTACGTGACAGATGAAAACCTCGCCTAGTTAACTAGCTTGCTAGTTTTCTAACCGTTTCCAAGCCCGGGTAAAGAGGGATGGTTGGGTGTCGGGGTAGCAACTGCTACAGAAACTTCAACACACAGATAATAAATCAAAAATACAAAAAATATGAATAACACTCTTATTCTTCGCTCAAATCGGTAAGGCAAAATGACACAGTGGGCTGGTGAAAGCCAGCCTTCCGGGAAACCAGTCAGCCAACCAATGTGTCTTCTTTCGATTGAAGCAAAAATAAGAATGGGGACGTGGAATGTCCCTACAATGTATGAGGCTGGCTGAGAGGCTGACCAGGAAGACAAAGAAATGCGAAGATATGGCCTAGAAGTGCTGGGTATATGTGAGAGTAGATGGAATGGATGTGGATTGACAATATTGTCACCTGGAGAGTCAGTAATCCATTCCGCTCTGGTCACCCAGGTGACAACCACGAACACACTGAGGGATTAGCTATCATGATGTCATCAGTGGCAGCCAAGACCCTAATATAGTGGGGGCCAATCTGCTCCTCCATGACATCAAGAAGAACATTGGAACTCTCTGAAGGTGATGTTCAAGGAAACGTATACATCAAGAAGAAGGAAGAGAAAAGACAAGTAATGGCTGTCAACGGATACATGGAAGCTAATCGAAGAGGGGAGGATGGTGAAAGAGAAGATGACTCAATGCAAAGATGGACAACAGAGGGAGAAGCTGAGTACAATATAGACTGCACTGAATAAAGAAGTGAAGAAGAGTGCTAGAAAAGACAAAATACAATTCTGCGACACACTGGCCGGCAAATGAAGCAGTAAAGGCAGGTCGAAGGTAAAAGAGGCCCCAGAAAATTATCGAACAATCAGATCTCTGTCTGAGTAGAGCAGGTGAAACCTGTAGATGGTCAAGGGAACCCAATCGTCAGGGAAGAGAAACAATGGGCTGATCACTTTAAAGGACTCTTGAATAGACCATTATCCGCAACTCTCCTAGTAATACACCTCGACCAACAGCACGCACAAAACTGCCTGCCAGTGGACACCACTCCTCCAATGAAACCAGAAATCATAGATACGATCAAGTTACTGAAGTACGGCGAAGCAACTTGACCAGATGGAATTTACCCCTCAAAGCATTGAAAACGGACACACGGACTGTGACATTTGTGCTCACGCCATTATTGCGAATGGTTTAGAAAGAAGGAAAGGTACTGCCGATTAGAAAAAAGGATACCTCGTCAAGCTGCCAAGAAGGGACTTAGGCTGTGGAAGAAGCGGTGTGGAATAATGCTCCTACCCACACCAAGTAAAATAATAAATTTCATCCCCTTTGACAAGGCCTTCGAGAGCGTTGACTGAGAAACATCGTCTCAACTACAGGCGTAACAGATGAAGATGTCAAAGCTAGCCAGAATCGGAGAGTTAAGGTACGCCTTCATCAATCTGAAACCAGTTTGAAAACCTTCTGCACTCAGCATAGGGAACAAGATTCAGACTTTCAACACCAATGTGAATTCAGTCCTTCCCTACGGGTCAGAAACTTGGTGTGTCACGAAAAGGATTTCCAACAGGCCACTGCAGACTTTTATCAACAGCTGCCTTCGCTCCATAATGAAGATCATATGGCGAGAAAGAATAAGTGACGAAAAACACTGGGAACAAACCAACCAAGAACCGATCACTCAACAAATATGTAGGAGAAAGTGGAGACGGATCGGACATACATTGAGGAGACCATCGGATGCCAGGCCCTCGAGTGTAATCCAGGTTCGAAGCAACGAGTGTGTCGTCCTAGTGTGACATGGTGGAGATCGTGTGAGGAGGAGATGAGAGATTGTAGGCAATCGTGGACCGAGCTGAGAAGGACAGCAGAAAACAGAACGAAGTCGGTTTCTAAGAAGGTCTTCCAAAAGATGACACAGTGTCCTTGTTAGGGTTATACTGATCAAGTTTTCGGAGTCTTTCATCTTATTTTCTACCGACATGTTAGCCCGGAAACAGTTTGTCTTACTCCTTTGTATGTTTTCTAAAAGGCTGACACTACCTTTCAAGAGTGCTTGCTCAATGATGTTATTAACTTGCCAATGCTTAGTACATGCAGTGCGAATAAATACCTGAAAAATCTATGTTTACGTTTTTCTAGGTGCTAGTGCACCAGGCAGGGGCCTGGTTGATTTCATTTGGGCGTCTAGTGCAGCAATCCCTGAGCCCAGTTAATCAGCCATGAGCAAGCCGAGGTCATGCAACACCTCTAAATGGTCAGTGTTCGTACTGCGTAAGCAGCAGCAGATTGTTCATTCTATTGGTTTTCGGATGAACACTGGAAGCTACTCCACACACTGTTGCCCAATTATTCAGGTTCGACATCTTTCTACAATCTTATCAATGTTTCGTCGTTTCACACGAACCTCCACAGCCTGACATCATTTGTTTAGAGAAATGCTGAGGAAATCAGGTCGTCAAGGAGATCATTTATCAAAACCTAAACCTTCAGTGGACCAAGAATGGCTCTATAAACTAGACGCAAATTCGATTACTGCATTGTCAGCAAACTGTTACCTATATCTTAGGTGCTGAAGTAGGAATTCGAGCTCGTTTACCGGCTAGCTCCAACCGAAAATTGCATGGCTGTTGTGTGATCATCTTTCCTGGTGGACCTGTACCATGGCAAACCTACCTGCTGACTCTTTAGTTTGATCCACCCAATCCGGTGTTTAGCTTGCCCTTAACACCACCGGACTGTTGCGGATGGGAGAATAATGCAATACTTGTGGCTGTTTAAGAGTGTGTTCAGTGGCGATGGTACAAAAAGAATATAAGGATACGCAATTCCACTATAGCCCAGCGGTCGCACTCTTGCCCGATGGGTTGTAATGTGTTTCTCTTGTGGCGGAGTTCACTGGAACAGCATCGTCTGTCGAATGAAGTTTCAGAAGCTATTCAATGTTTTTGACCAAATTTATGGTCATATTTACACGACTGTATTTGGCAAATTGTGTCTGGAGGGTCATCCATTCAACAATACTGTTTCACTATTTGAATTATTCAGTGAATTCATACGGAATTAAATAGTAAAACGTACACAAGGTTTATCTATATACAGTTGGTAATGTCTCCTTTGCTATGGCTATAGTATAGCAGTTAAGCATAATAGTTAGTTCACCTTCCAAACTATGTTATTTTCTTTTCTTCGGGCGTTTTATTACTGTCTTATGTACCTTTGAAAATTCCTTTATTTTGTGCCCATTCGTCAAATCTTTTGGATCTGTGTGCGTCAGAAATACCACCACCATCTTATAAGTATTGGTGACAAGACGCAAATCAAAAAGACCCTGATAAATAGTGATGTGTCCCAGCTAGCATTTTCTTCAGGTGCATTGCAGAACACGGGACAGCGATCTGCAGTCTGCCCCAGAGATTCTTCAATGCTCCCGAAGTCAATGCTGGCTGAGGTCCTTTCAAGCAGTATATTTGGATATAATATAAAATCGAAATAATCTGGCAAAAATAGGGTAATTATTTATCTACTTTGAAAGGCTGCACAACCAACTCAGAGAATGCAACTGTCCATTACATAAGCAGAGAGCACTAAAAAGGCGTTGGCACCAGTCTGTACGTGCATATGCTAAAACAAGTCTGGAACATCAGAATGTGTACTACAAATAAATTCTTTAATATGCAGTCCACTATTACTGTCGTGGTAAATTCGTTATTAGCAATTACTATCAGTAACAGCACGTTGAAATAATATTTTGTAGAGGATCAAAGAAGTTCGTCAAGTCAATTCTTCGAGACAATACCTCAACAAAGGCGTTGTTATGTGATTATTGGACACTATAATCAATTCCTGACATCGCCAATAAATGCACTTTTGAGCAGCCGTGAGAGTTACATTCTCACTTCACTAGTTGGGTTGGCGTTAAGAACAGCCGGCCCCAGGTTAGGTAGACCAAGCTAAGATGTCAGCAGGAAGTGTGGCTAGAACTCGGGTCTATCAGGATAGGTGCCTTTGCACCAATCATGTGAGTTATTTCCAGCTTAAGCCGATCGGAGTCTTTCAAGCTGCGTAACTAGCCGGTCTCCTGGAATATAACGAATAAAACTACTACAACAGTCAAAAGGTAAGCCAATCTATTACAGTAATAGTAGGGCATTCTTCTCAGATCACCGTCTTAGTGGGCAGCAGTAGGTTACCTGCGAAAGGCTAAATGAAAGTGGATATTTTGGATAAGCTTCTTGATAAAAAGACTATTTAGCCACATCCACATCCCAAAGAAAATATTTAGATTACAAAACCTTTAGAGCCATCTATCGTTTCAGCACAACAACTATACTGATTCACCATTCACAGTCACTTTCAAAGCAAAAATAAATCTTTCGAAGTATATGTGTTGCTGGCCTCTGGATTTCGTTTTTTACAGCGAGGAGAAAGCTACATCTGAAGGTTTGTACAGTTAGACATATGACGCATCCCAACTGTCGTCATAATTGTGATCCAAAATAAAGTGCCACAGAACACAATGTATTACTACCTATTCATTTAAACGATTCAACAAAAG